TAGGCTATTTTTTCTTTCTTTCTTTTCTTTTTTTTTTTTTTTTTTTTTGAGACCGAGTCTCTCTCTTGTCGCCTAGGCTGGAATGCAGTGCTTGTGATCTCCACCACTCACTACAACCTCCGCCTCCCAGGTTCAAGTGATTCTTCTGCCTCAGCCTCCTGAGTAGCTGGTGTTACAGGCATGTGCCACCACGCCCAGCTAATTTCTGCATTTTTAGTACAGATGGGGTTTCACCATGTTGTTCAGGCTGGTCTCGAACTCCTGACCTCGTGATTGACCCGCCTCGGCCTCCCATAGTGTTGGGATTAGAGGCATGAGCCACGGCGCCTGGCCTAGGCTAACTATTAAATAACAAGAATTAAAGACTCAGGAAATAGAAATTCTAGTTCTAACTGCCACCCTTTAACTATGTGACCTTGAACAGGCTCTTAGCCTCACTGGGCTTATCTGTGAAACAGACTAGATGATCCCATTTCAATGCTGTGAATCAGCTAATGAGCAACACTGGAGCACAGGACTGGTTGAAATAGGCTCCCAAATGTAGAAACATAAACATACTTTCATTTACTTATGATCTAGGCAGAATGACTTGCCTAGAACTTGGGAATAGATATAGTACATGAAGAGTGAACTGCCGGTTTTTGACAACACAGACACCACCTATTGAAGGCTGCAAACAAGCATGAACTCAATCCCCCTTTTAGCCTATGAAGTAGATCTTACTGTTTAACAGGTCAAATGGGGCTGATGAAGGCTGAGCAATCACCAAGTGTAAGACCGTGTACCCAACTCCACACTGTAAGATGTGTGACCTGAGCAGCGGGTTCAGGGCTGAATGAGCCTTAAAAGGCCACACAGCACAGTGGTTAAGAGGGCGGGGCCTGGGGTTAGACTGACATCTAAATCCAGCTTAAGTCAGTCTCCTTAGGGAAGTTGCCCCTCTCAGTCATGGTAGACCTGGGCAGTGGGTGTCAGCTGACCATGTACCCCAATCAGCAGGGTGAGAGTCTGTTGCTATGGGCAAAAGTGCGACCTAAGGTTTAGGCTGCCTACAGGAACCAGAAAACTCTGATTCTGTGTCATTTACATGTGTAAAATCTGAAACTCAGGGCCAGGACATCCAAAATGGGAATCCTCACTTACCAACATTGGAGGACACCGCCCGGTTCATGATATCAAGTGCCTCGTTAAATTTGTCCTTGACAGATGGATGTGCCAGCACTTGGTCTGAGAACATAGACTTCCAACCCAGGTACCACTTGGTGATCTCCTCATAATTTGGGCTGTTACTGAGCCAAGAGCACAGCACCTGCCAAAAAGAAAAATTACTTGCATCCATGGTGGCAACAAACGAAAGCAAGATTTCCGAAGGGGCCATTTGTTTTGTTTTGATCCTGGTCCTGCAGGCTAGTGACACCACTTTACAGGGATTTATAGTAGCTAAACAGTCTAGGACTTATGAATATGGATTTTGGAGTCAGCCTGGTAGCTAAAGTCCCCTTGCGTGTAAACTATCTGAGCTCCGCTTCCATGTCTACACGACAGGGATACCATAGCCCCTACCCCATAGGGTTGCTGCGAGGAGCTGAGATAAAGCAAATAAAGTGCTTGGAACAGCTTCTGATACGTAGCAAATGTCCAATAAATGGTGCCCACTATTAAGATGACCTAACTCATTCCTACCCTACCATGTAATTCATTTTTATTATGGAATTGTACCTACAGTCAGGCCTCGGCAGAAAATTAACTTAATCCCCACCCAGTTCCCTCCCCCAGAAAGCCAAGCAAAACAGTGTACCTGAAGCCACTTGGGGAAGAAGTGCTTTTCAAGAAGTCCCACCAGACTAGAGACAGAGATCATCCCTTCCCAGTCAATCACCCAATAGAATGCATCCATGTGCTGCTGGTGGGGGTTAATGACTAGCTCACCAAGACACATCCCTGGAAGAGAAACCCAGTCTGTAAGGCACAGCTTTAGTACCGGCAAAGCCACAGAAGCACAAAGAGCAAAGACAATGTCCATTTTCATCTCAGCTCACAACAACCTCCACCTCCTGGGTTCAAGTGACTCTTGTGCCTCAGCCTCCTAAGTAGCTGGGAGTACAGGTGTGCACCACCGTGGCCGGCTAATTTTTGTGTTTTTATTAGAGACAGGGTTTTGCCATGTTGCCCAGGCTGGTCTCAAACTCCTGATCTCAGGTGATCTGCCACCTCAGCCTCCCAAAGTGCTGGGATTACAGGCGTGAATCACGGCTCCTGGCGAGTTTTTTTTTTTTTTT